CTATTTTTTTTAAATCTACTTAAAGACAGAAGTAATATATCTGCTTGATGTCATTTGACTTTGAAACAGCGTGATTTCGTTCTTAAGTATACCGAAATTCGTGTTAAAATTGTAGTTACAATTATAACGATACTTTACTTACTATACTATACTTTCGGCCGCGACTCCGTCAGCGTGTAATTAAAAAAACAAAAGTGAGTAGCTTATGTGTTCTTCCAGACTATCCTCTACATCTATACCAAATTTCATTTCTAACAAACATCCATCTGTCTAAACTTTCGCATTTATAATGTTAGTATGATTAATTCGATTTTGATTGTGCTGTGTACAAACTTTACTATAGGAAGTTATTGTATTTATTTAAGATGTTTGCTTAAAGTTATTTGCTGCAAAATATATTATCTGTACAATTTCATGGGTAATCACAGGCTCCTAACCGCAACCTTGTACCGATGCAATTATGTATATCATAAACAAGGTCAATTATAATCAAAATCTGCACAGATTATCGTCAAATATCGCAACACTGGCTGATTATAAACGATTGCTTTATCTCGATTTATGAATATTGTAATGTTTCAAAATAAAAAAAATAACCATTCGGAACTCTGCGACTCGGTGTCGAATCATGAGATTTAGTAACATTGCCGCTTGATTTCTCGCTGTTTACCTAGATTATTCGGATTTTTTATCTATATCACTGGTTGCGCCATTTTAACGCATGGCCGCGGATGACATTGACGGGCGACTTTTTGCCGCCAAAATGTTAACTAACGGAGGTCGCCGTGGAAAACTTCAAGTGCGACGATTTTCTGTGATGTAATTAAATATTATTCAAATACCGTTTTTATTAAATAGGTCAAGTTTTCTAATTAATGAAAATATCTCGTATTTAGAAGCATCACAACCGCTACCAACAGCAGTCTGCGTCAAAATCACAATAATCAAATAGGTGTAAAATACCACGGTCGATATGTCTCAAAACATGTATCATTGCAATTAAAACTCACAAGCAGCATGACAATGATGCACAACTTGTGGTAGTTATGTCTGGAACCTATGAAACCTAAAACAAACCGATAACAAGAGCAGTCAAGCGCGAAAAAACTAATTAATAATATGCAAATATACGATTTAAATTCCCGATGTCTGCTAAAACGTCTATCAACTATTACTGAATTTATTTTGGACGGTTTTTTTACTGCAATATAATTTTATCAATACTTGTTCGTATTGAACTTTTATTAAAATAAAAAAATGACAAGTAAACAAAATTCAGGTTTTCGTAATCGTTTCGTAACAAAAAAAAAACAATACGCACATTTTACATTTGAACAATAATTGTTAAACATAATTATGTAACTTAGTAAAGACCTTTATTTACATTTCATCTACGTTTGACACGTGACTGACACGAAAGGTTTTCGAATAGTATTCGACAGAAAGGTTAAACAATTTTCATCTTATCCGCTAGCAGCTTTACAAATGACTCCTCTTCCCAATAACACCGAACAGCACGTCTCTTACTGTGACTTAACGTGTGACGTCATAAAATCAGCAAAGTGTCAGCGCACAAGTCCTACTTCTTACTAATTAGTTGGATAGATATTTGTTATAGTTTGTAGCCTAACGACTGAATGGATCTCAATGATTTTTTTCAAATATGTAGAGGATAGTCTTTAAGAACACATAAGCTACTTATTTCTGTTTTTTTTAGCTCCATGAGACAGGGTCTCGAACGAAAACTAGTATGTTAATATATTTAATACGTAATTAGTGGTAAAATTTCAAAACAATTGTATGAAAATTTAACTTGTAAAAGGAAATGTTATGTTCAGTTATAAAATTGTTTAACAATAAAATCAAAATAGTACATCGTATTATGTAAGTTTTTTCCTTCAAATGTATTAAACCGGTCGGGTATTCGCGATCGCGCACATTTAGTTAGAAAACATGTGTAGCTGCTCAATTAAAGCATAAAATCAGATTCTGGAATGCCAATAATACCTTAAGCGAGCTAAATATAAAAACCAGTACGGGAATAGTCACGCCTTGTAATACCTTTGGTTTTTTTTGTTAGAAAAAATCCAGAAATGGAAAAAATTAGTACCCTGCCTCAGCTAACGTCAAATATCTGTACAAAAAAGGATTGTGTTCAAGTAATGTAGATAGAATTTTATAGTCTACGATCTAATTGGATTAGAAAAATGTCAAAATCATTGACCATTGATTTATTCATTACAAAGTAAATATAATTAATGACGACTATTTAACACATAAACATTATCATACTGTTACTTTTTTATGTTACCGGATATTTTATCAAAATTTCGTCAACACAAAAAGTATGAAAACAGCAATTCATTTTAGACCTCTCCCTTCTAAAACGCTTTCGCAAATTAATCTGCGTCACGCAAAAACTACGCCTTATTAGAGGAAATCCCCACAGCCCTAAGGACAAACCCTAATATGCTTAGATAAACCTTCCTATGCCCGCGATTTATAATAATTTTAGGTCAACAAAAACTCAACATCGGTCGACGGTTTTTGTCGCCCTCCCTTTTTATGCGTAAGAAAATTTTGGTGTTGATTTTAAGGAAATAATGTCTGCTCTACATGCTTTCATACTACTTTTGAACACATAACTTGCTAAACATATTAGATTTTGTTACAAAAAAGTATTTCTTGTTTATGTTTTACGCAAATTAGAGATAATATGTAAAAGAATTGCTAACTTTCCAATATTAGCCCATCATTCTAATTACATTTGAAATTCAAACATATTCTAGTGTGCCATTTTACGCCATGAAAACTTTAATTTGCCTTCAAAATAGACAAATAGATCTTGAGTTGGGTCATTGCAATTTTTCTCAGCTTTATAAGGGTCGGTACAATATGCCACGGTGGACAGGCCCCTTTTAATAACCACATTAATCCTTTGACCCCTTCTGTCAAATCCGTGGTAACCTTTCGGATAACTTGTCTAATCTTGACATTGATATGTAAATACTCCAAACGTATGGGTTCTCTTAAATTCGATTGTTTATACTTCATTATTATTTCTCTAACATCTTTACTAATGCTTGGTTTTACTTGTTTACCTACTTTAAGCGGAATATTCAGCATAATGCTCTGTGTACCTTTATCTGATTGGCATATGGGAGTCAAAATTTAACGGAATTAACCAGGTACCGGGTGGAGATAGACGTGGGAGGAAAAAGACCATATCGGATCCAACGGACTTTCGGATCCCGAAAAGCGCTAGCGACCCTACAGAGTGGGGTCTGCTGGCGTCCTCCGACCACGAGGTTGGTGGATCGAAACTGGACGTTGAGACAATCATTCAAGTCATAAAACAAAAGACGAACTATTTTAATTTGTGATTTTATCGATTATTTAAATCTATTTTAATTAGAATATGACAATGCAGATTGTCTTAAAAGTCCTTTATCGTTCGTATAGTTGTCAACTCGTGTTGTTAGCATTTCTGTTGTTTAATTACCCTCAGCTTTTTGTATTTTCTTTTGTTTGTTAACGTGCATCCATTAGTATTATTACAGTTGTACTAATAGTTTCTTCATTTTGTGTTCTTGTAATGTAGTAGGTTGTTTATGCTTACATTTAGTGCTTCATTGGTTTCGTTCCCGTTCAACTATTTCCCGTCTACTATTGAGGTGCCTAATACTTTGATTTAACACAGATTCCTCTTCGGCGAATCGATCCTTCACGAAGTCCTATTAAAAGTCAACCACCACCTCGAATTTCCAGCATCATGCCATTAAGTAGTGCTTCAAACTTTAATTATGTTCTGGCTGTGACCAATCGCGTTCGTGTCTCACATTTTCTGTCAAGTCATTCGACGTGCTACCGAATCTTATAGCTCTTGTAAACATATACACTTTAAATCTGCCATAAGTCAATTCTGAATTTCATCTTTATTTACATCCAGTTATAGTTCAAAATCGTTCGATCGCACTATCTTAGTTTCTTTATAATTCTGCTTCCTGATAAGCAGTATTCGACGAGCCACATCTGTAACCGATGATGTAATTTCAACTCTATTCGCTATTATTTAAAGATTATAATTGTACGAATGCGTCCATAAAATTGGTTTGTGACGTTGAAATTGAGTCATGTTCCGTCGGCCATAGAATCCGGTGCCCGAAGGAACGTGGCCCAAAGTTTCATTGTTGGATGTTGAATAAAACCTATCGGTAGGATGACGAGACGGTTTCAACTCAGAAACTAATTTGGTATAACACAATGAATATCACCGAAACAGCCTTTTGAGCGCGCAGTGAGCGCCGGCGTGCCTTAATAGACGAGGTCTGTTGGCACGTGTAGCTTATACCTAGACAAATTCGATACAATGTCTATCAAATCAGTTATGCAATAAAGGCTTCATTGCTTACACGCAATAAGAAATAAAATAGCATATATACATTTCACGGATGTTAGCCGCATTACAAATTACCTTGGCATTGACTTACCATTTACAAATTTTGGTAGTGTATAAGTTATAAGTATGATTATTTTGATCGGACGGATGATTTTAAGGAAGTAATGCTAATTAAGGCTCTTAACAATTGCCGCAAAGTTAGTATCCTGCCTTTATGTCGGTTCCTCGTTGAAACTCGTAAAAAACATCGTTGTTTCACTCAGAACGAGCACAATTTGTTCCAGTTGCCCTCGGATGTTGTTCAAGGGCAAACGCGCGTTGCGATGAGCCTGATGAATTTTAACTTAGAATAATGGATGCTGGTTTATACCTCCTTTTATTAACTGAGCACTCTTTTATATTAATCACCAAACAATATTTATTTCTAAAACGTCGCAGAGTTTGTGTCACTGTGTTTTTATGTATTTTAATGACTGCATGGCATACCGTGTGTTTTAAATATAGACCCCTGAATTTACCTATTTATAGTACCCGTTATACATACACGTAACTAGATTACTACAGTAAATAATATACTCACTATCATTATTTTTAATTCCAGGTGTTCGGTTCGAAGGCTGACCTACAACTACACACGCAGATCCATTTGCGCGAAGCGAAGCCGTACCGCTGCACCCAGTGTCCAAAGGCGTTCGCGAACTCGTCGTACCTAGCACAGCACTCGCGAATCCACCTCGGCATCAAGCCGTACCGCTGCGAGATCTGCCAGCGCAAGTTTACCCAACTATCGCATCTCCAGCAGCACATCCGCACGCACACTGGTGACAAGCCCTACCGATGCACGCAGATCGGCTGCACGAAGGCTTTCTCCCAGCTCTCCAACTTGCAGAGCCACAGCCGTTGCCACCAGACCGACAAACCCTTTAAGTGCAACTCCTGTTATAAATGCTTTACACACGAGAAGGATCTGCTCGAGCACATTCCTAAACACAAAGAGTCGAAGCATTTGAAGACGCACATCTGTCAGTATTGCGGCAAGAGCTACACGCAGGAGACGTACTTAAGTAAGCACATGAACAAACATGCAGAGAGAGCGGACAAGCGGCCCCCAATATCTGCACTCGGCTTGAGCGGCCTGAATCGGTCCCTAGCAGCAGCGGCGCCGACCGCGGCACCTTTCGGAGAGCACCCCTACTGGCCCAAGGTGAGCCCGGACTCGGCGGCGCATATGTCAGACGAGAGCGGGTACCACCAGCAGCGAGAGAGCGATGACCATCATGAGCAGCAGCTGCAGCAGCAGCGCGCGCTGTTCGCGCAGCACGACGGTCAGGACGACCGTATCCAACCTCCCGTCTCTTCCGCCGCCAACTCCGCCTTCACGCCCATCAACTCGATGGCGCCACACCTCAATGGCCTGTCGCATCACAGCGCCCTGCCGACGCGGCCGTACCTCTACGACCCTCTACACTTCCAGCAGGGCAAGCAGCAGCCAAACTCTTTCCCCAACCAGTTGATATCGCTTCATCAAATTCGGAATTACGCACACCAGCCGTCGGCGCTGCTGCCAGCCGAGCACATCCTTCCGCACTCCTTGGCGCACAAAGACAAACAGTAAACTTGCCCTTTTATCTGTAGGCGTACCTACATTATAGTACTTATGATGGTATTACTAGTATTTAAAAAAAATATGAAATATTATTAACAAAAAAAATTTAGAATCTCTCTATCGGACACTGGTATTATAAATGTATGAAATACAAAAACTCGTTTATCGTTAGTGAGAGACACGTTCAATGTTTTTAGACTTTAATCAAAATTGTGTATGAATACTCTGAATTTTTGTCGATTAGATGACGATTGTAATCGAGACTAAATTGTGATTTTAAATAAAAGAAACTTTTGTACCCTTTATTAACTAGTTCTTCGTGTGAAGGCGAAACATTTAAATCGGAAAGGATCCTTTATAGAACTAGGGAATAAATGGTACAAAGCGTATCCTAAAAGCCTGTACGCAAATGAAATCTTTGAAGCATAATTCAAATAGCATAATACAATACTAAATTACTACCTAACTGGTTTGTGATTGTGTTTTTCTTTATTTTATAGTGGCACCTTTAATTAAATTATCGTCGTTTAGATACGGTGTCATAAAATTCAGAGTTCCTGATATTATTGTTATCGATATATAAAATTCCACTTGACATCACTAGTACTATATTTGTTTCTGTTGCATTTCGTCGTACACGTTTAGTGTGTATTGCTGACAGCAGAGGGTCTAACACGAATATTTGCGAGAAAGTATACATAACGTCATCGACAAAAATTCTACGAGTATTAAAATTTAAAGTACACAAATGTTGTTGACGTTACAAATAATTTGTCACAAATATTCGTGCTAGATCCCAGATCTCTCGTCTCATCACATTTGCACTCAGTTCCTACTTAGATCGAATAATTCCTTTTTTATTTAGCTGTATTCAAAATCACTCTATGAATTATTTGGTTTCTTTAATTCTAGAAAATATAGTCTTCCTTCAGAATCGCAATTGTAACTTTTAAAATCATCTTCCTTGATTTTGGAGGTCGAATGTATTTTTTATTAGCATTTGTATATTTGTAACCATCGATGAGTGGCCAAAATAGCTTATTAATTTCTACCTGCAGGAGAAAACGCACGTTTGTACATATTGTGTAAATATAACAATTCATTTTGAGGAAATTTGAAAACTTATTGACATTTATTTTTCAATTTAAGTCTTCAAAGCTTATGCTCAATTTTATTAGACGTAAGAATCTCGTCTGGGGCCTGATATTCGGAATTTTAGGATCCGTGCAATTCAAGAATTTTTTTCTTTATCTACCCGCAGTAAAGAATCATTTTTGAATTGTAATTTTTTTGATGATTTTAATCAATTTGTACTTAAAATGTTTCCGTTGACGGTTGAATATAATTTTGTATACGAAATTTTTTTTGTTGATTATATCTAAATGTGGAGAGGTTTAGAAAAAATTGTGATAGGAAACGGATGTGGGTGAAAATGTTCGAATGTCCTTTCTAAATTAATTTGCTATACATTTAAGTTTAAATTTGTTAGGTTGTGGTTATATGTGATCCGGACTTGGGTTCCGTAAGTAAGCCGTCTGTTGTCACGTCACAAAGTTAGCCAAATGCTAATTTAAGCTATCGTTTAACGTTTTTGTTGTTCTCAACTTGTATCTACGGCAATATTTTATCTTCCGAATTTTTTTAGAGTAACGTATTGGGGAGTTTATTGTATTATATGATCATGACAAGCCAAGTTTTTTTTATCCAAATTTTTTTTGTCTTTCGGTTGTAAGGGAAATTAGAATCGCCAATATCTCTCTATTGTAAGTAGAAATGTGATATTGTAATTTGATTTTTTTTTAGTTAAGTGTAAACTTATTGCTATGTTTAAATACAATATTTTTGTAAGTAATTTTCGTTTTTAATATAGTTTCGCTTTATCTAGGCGTTCTCGTTTAAGATTATAGATCAAAGTGAACGGAGTTTTTTGTTACTTAAAATCAATTAAAAATTAATTACAACTATGCCAAGAACAAACTCTTTTATTTATAAACCCTATCCTTTTATTAAAATACTATAAATTTTAATTGGTTACATCCAAATCTTTCAAATTACTTCAGTAAAAATATTACTTTTGATAACGTGTGAAATCAAATTAATTTAAAATTTCCCTTAAAAATTGGTTTCAAATGTTATTTTTTTCTACTAGGATTCGACGACATGTGAGTAAATATAATAAAATAGTTTGGTACAAGTATATCGGAAGTATCAATTTTCAAACTAAACTAACTATAGTCAGGGAAATCAGAGACATCTATTGCCATAATACTAAAACTATTTACGCACATCAAGAAAACATTACCTACATAATGTTACTATAAATAATTTTAATTCAACAAATATTACATAAAGTATACAAGAAAATACAGAATGTTAAAGAAATGTAAAAATTGAAATATTTTCATTAGGCAGCGACATCTATCGATAAATATTTAAATTTATTTTAATGTATTCATATAAAACCAAACAAGTAAATAAAAAAAAATTATGAACTTTTCTCTTTATTTAGTAACAGTCGCAAAAATATAATAAATACTTAAAATAGGTATTTACAAATAATACGGGGTCGTTTTACCTACGCAGGAAAACCATACAAACCATCCAAAAATTAGAAAGCAAATTTAATTTTACTCTTAACAAAATATGAAAAAGATACACCCTGTAAAGTATGGCTATAGACAAATATTAGATTTTTCACAGTGAGTTAATAAAATATTAATGAATGAAAATTAAAAAATGTAACAATTGTCAAGCCTCGATTCAAGAAATGATCTAATTCGTATTTTCTTACAAAACGGTTTTTTTCATAAAAAATCGTCAAAGAAATGATAATAAAATAAATAGAATTTGGACATTCCTAGAAGTACAGGATGTATCTTTTTGCTTAAAAATAATGGGGAATAATAATTTTCAGTTAAAATTTATATGTATTGTCATTTAGTCGCCCTAAATACTAAACGAGAATCATATAAAATTTGATAAATATGCAAAAATGTTAAAACTATATACTAAAGACGTCACAACACTGAAAGAAGACAAAAGACACATAAAGAAACAAAAAAAAAACAAAGAAGCACAAATCACAAAAGATTAAATTAAAAAAATATTCGGTATCGAGAGATCAATTCCGATGTTATTAAAAAAGTAATTTTATAAGTTATTTTTTAAAGTTGTTCAAATAATAATAAAAAATTTTTATAAAAATATTATTACATGACTTCCAAGTACTTTCGCGTCATGACAATTTAGACTTTTAGATTGATTTTTGAAAAAAAAAATAGTAAGATTTTTTTTATTATTTTATACGTTTACGATGCTACGTTTTCTTAAAACATGACTAGAAACATACTAGAACCGAACAAAACCATAAGCACCGCACAATATTCCCGTGATTTATCTACGTTAGTACAGTTTCCTTTCCCAGTATTACCCCACTTTTACAATCATTTTATACTCGGCACTAACATACTGTTATCTCTCTTATCCTGTGAGAAAAAAGGGACAACAATATTTTCTAAGGGTGTGTCGACAGTGGAAAAATTAGAAAAAAATACATAGAAACCGCGACTTTTTTAAATCTATTAAATTTCGATAAGTATACTTATATTTAACTTACATTTGACAAACTATAATGTACTTAAGTTGACAGCATGCTTAAATTATAATATTGATTACAATTTATTATATCAAAATACAGAAAAAAACGACAACACAATTTATATATGTAAGACACTGAAAAATACTTCTTTTTTGATAAATAGACAGCATGCGTGCAGTAAAAATTCATTTAGTGATAGGGAAAAAAGGTTTTTTATTTTTATTTTTGGAGAAAACCTAAATTTTTACCTAGATCACTTGATTTCCAAAAAAAAAAAATCAAAAACCAAAAAATCTCAAAAAATGTTGAATTGAAAAATATCTTTCTAGCACCCATGCCGTCCGTTTTTTAGTTTTAGACTTCGACCTTGTAGGGGGAGCCGGGGATGTGCTCCTCCCCCCACTTGACGATGACGATGTACTCCCCCCGGTCGCGCACCACGTACCAGCACTCGTAGTTGTTCTTGCCCTTGTGCTTCAGCTGGACCTCGTCGCACGGACCCTTGGGCCCGTAGATACCCACATACAGGATGTTATTACCTAAAACAAGGAAGTAGAGTATAGAGCACATTTAAAAAAAGTATGTATTTAATTGCACTGGTATCGAGGTTTTCAAATATTTCGATGGCTTGGAACAAGAGTCGTTTCTCAACACATGTAAGGTAAAGCGAGGAGTACAGTAGGGCGAGAGCGCTACGGAGGAAACACATGACCTCGAGTCACCAAGATATTTGGAAGGATGTATGTATGCTTTAATTCCATTAATCTAGATTGTTCAATAACTTCCGAATATATCTATATGGTCTGGACAAAATAAAGTGAGAAAGATAAAATACTTAAACAAATACACAACGCCACGTGCGAGAATTAACTGCGATGTCTTCGTCTTTGACTAACTATCTGCCGCGATTTCATTTGGGTGAAATTAAAAAATCTAAAGTAAGTAGTCTACGTGTTCTCCCATACTTTGCTCTACATCTTTAGGAAATCACATCGCGATCCGTTCAGCAGTTTAGGCTACAAACTCCGACAAACATTCATCCACCATCTTCTTACCAGCATCTCCGGCGTGTACGGTGAACTGATTGTGTTTGTTGAGGTACGCTTTCTTGAGGCCCATGCCCTTGCTGGTCACTTTGGTGGCGTCGGACTTGAAGTGCGGCAACACCGGCCCCTGCTTCTGCGCCGCCTTCGACACCTTCTGCACTGTCTCCACTGTCACTGACGACGTCTCCTGGGCACCGATCTCCGCTAAGTTCTCACCTGAATGGAGAAATATTAAATTATAAATAAAATGAAACTATAACGGAAAATTACAACGACTTAATAATAAAGGCCACGCTTTAACTCTAGAATTTATTTTTTTTTTAAATCTCAGATTGTAAGCGGTGCTTATGAAGCGAAGTGTTTTAAATTCGTTTTAGTATTTGGTCGTTATTTTAGCATCTAATATAGTAAATAGACTGGTAAATTCTAATAAATTATGAACTTTTACTGTAATTCTTCTTCTGAATGTTGTGAAAGAATTAGTAAAATGTGAACATACCAGTGGCTTCAACCTTGAAGGGCGAGCCGACGATGTGGTGGCCATTGTACTTGATGCTCATGTAGTAGAAGCCGGGAGACAAGGGCGTGTAGCGCACCTGGGATGAACATTAATTAGGTACTATATCATCAACATCATCAGCTCACTATACGTCCTCACTGAGGGGGAGACTACCCTAATAAGGGTCGACTAGGCCATAGTAACCACGCTACACTGCGGGTTGACTTCAAACATATCTTTGAATTTCTTCGCCGACTTATGCAGGCATCACGATGTTACCTTTACCATAAGAATGTCGGTTAAATTATGTACATATTAAAACTAATTAAATAATATCGTACTAAATATAGATAGTTAAGAAGTTACACAGATAAGAAATAAAAATGCCTAACCTCATCTATTAATTTTAACTATTCTATCTTTAAAAACTAGTTTATAATAGTAGACCAATCGTGGCCAGTGGTATGAACAATGTCTGTTTTCATTGGAGCAGCTGAAAGCGGTAATAAAATTAGCAACTAGTCGTTTTGAAAAGGACTTTTATAGTCTAACTAGCTTTCGGCCGCGTCTCCATCTGTGTGGAATTAAATAAAAACAAAAGTGTTGTTCCAGACTATCCTCTATATCTATAAATTTCATCAAAATCCTTTGAGCAGTTTAGGCTACAAACTCTAACAAACATCCATCCATCTAAACTTTCGCATTTATAATATTAAGTATACAGTATGTTATTGCGAATCCTGCTACAAGGCTGCTAACGAAAACGTCATTGGGTCTCAGTCAACTAGTTTGGAGTTTCTTAAGTTAATGAGGCTGTAAGTCTTCTGTATGATAAATAAATAAAATAAACATCATAAGATACCTTGTATCCTTCTTCAACATCAGTGCAGTCCATGGCGACGCGCGAAGGCCCGTCCATGGTGACGGCGAGGATGCCCGCGCCCGCATTGCACGTGTCGATGATCAGGTCCGTCTTCGCTCCTGACAGGGCAATTGTACCAAATGTATGAAGTAATTCAACGTTGTAAAGAAGAAGGTAAGACGATAATACTCACCAGTTTTAACAGCTCCTAGACCGGGACCATGTGCATGCACTGCTGCGGGGTCCGCATCGTCCTTTCCGACCTGATTTTGATAAACAGATTATTATAAAAGTTTACAATTTTTGATAGGATAACGCAAAGCATTATCATGTGCACAAATATGTTTTCACCCGCGACTCCGTCCGCGTGGAATTCAAAAAACAAAAGTAAGCAGACTATGTATTCTTCCAGACTATCCTCTATATCTATTTTAAATTTAATCTAGATCTATTCAGCAGCTTAGGCGGTAAACTCTAACAAACCATCCATCTGAACTTTCTCGTTTATGATAGCAAAATGTTACTCACAGATAATTTTGAAAAATAAATTTTTAATCGATCCAGAATCTTTAAGCTTATTCAATGCGAGCAATCAAATCAATAGTCTTTATAACTAGATAAAAAAATTGTTACCTTGATCCTGAGCGGTGAGGCGGGGATATGTACACCGTTGAACTTGACGTTGATGTTATGCACACCATTCTCCCGCGGCATGAACCTGATGGAGTACTGGTCGCCGTCGATGTTCTGAATGAAGCAGTCATCCGTCTTTCCGGATGGGGAGATCACCTACAACAAACGAGAGATTATATAATAATGCATACATGAGTTTACATTATCTACTACTGCCTCATAAAAATATAGGTGTGAAGAGTTTTGCTATTTCGTCTTGCGTGCGCATACCTGGAACTAAACTATCGCACAACTGTTTAGTCTAGCTTTGATTCCAAAGCTTATATGGAGGTGCGCACTACTCGATTTTTAGTTGTACAAATAAACAGTTGAATTGACTGCGAAACAATCGAAAATCGCACAACAGCTGTGCGATAGTTGGTTTGGAGTGTGCCCATTCCTGGAGTTATCTTCTGTCAAAACTTTTAAATTACTATAATTCTAATTCCAACGATGAATACAAATACTATTATATGATTAGTTTAATTCATTCTTCTTGTAGTTCTTCAAATTAAATGAAGGAAACCACGACACATTCGATAAAAAAATGTATTTCTAATGTAAACAACGCGTGAAAATAAAACGTTCTGTATGAAACTAGTTTCGTGGAAAGTTGTAAGTTGTAACATTAATTTTTATAACGCATCACGATACTTCGCTACACTTCGGTCCACTTCGTATTCATCTCGTAGCGAGCTGTTATCAAATATTGAGAAGACGTGTGATTTATTCGCGCTCCGGACACGCGCTCGGTCAGTTTTATTACATTTTTTGTTTAAGGAAAAAATTGGGGTAAGCCATGTGCTTCGTTTATTTGTTTTGAGTTAGTAAACTACCTACTTTCAGAATAATGCCACTTAACAGGAAATTCAAGTTTGATAATTAGTTTTGTGTGTTGAAAATAGCCGCTGAAAACTTTGTTGGAAATCAAAACATTGTTTTAATAATAAAAATAAGTTAAGGTTCAATACTTAAGCAAAAAGGCATCGCTTAGTTAAAACTAAGAATAAAGTAGATAATTACTATAAGCTACCAAATATACAAAACTACCAGTTGCTCGCGACTTCGCTCGCGTGAAATTAAAAAATATAGCCTGTGTTACAAATAAATTACCTTTCTAACGGTGAAAGAATTTTTAAAATCGGCCTAGTAGTTTTTGAGTTATTTAAATAAATACAAAAATCCAAAATCCTATCCTCTTTATAATATTAGTATAGATATTATTTTTAATTATGTTTAGTATAAAATTGTAATAAAATAACATTAAAGACTTCTTTAATAACAAAATAACCAACATTAAATTCCTAAATCATAAATATTATCTGCAAGGAGTTTAGTTTTATCAACTGAATTCTTTTTCATAGAAGACCATCGATCATAAAGTACCGTTCACACAACCGGACGGCGTCATGTTCACACGATAAATCAAACTGACCCCTCCGGCTCACTGGATATTGGCAGACATATTGAACGCGTGTGATTCGCAACCAGGATTATAAGAGCACCTTTGAATAAACTATCGCACAACTGTTGTTTGATTGTCGATTGTCTCGTAGCCCATTCAACTGTTTAGTTGCACTAAAAATCGAGTAGTGTGCGCTCCATATAAGGTCATAGGTATCAAAGCTGTACCAAACATTCGTGGAATAGTTTAGTCAAAGTAGTGCGCGCACTCTAAGACTTTGAATCTCCAAATAACTATATAATAGAACAATTATCCAACTATGAATAAATGTACAAATTCTTATGCAACAAATAATACTGACGATAGTTGAAGTTCATAACAGATATACGTTTTCTCCAGTATGTGAGTCCTTATGATTTAAGTCAACAAAAAAAAATCACCATCCCTATGCCCTTTGAGGGTGCTTAATTAATCCACAATAGGCATTTGAGAGTATTTAGACAACAGAAAATGTTTACATTCGAGCTAGGAGTCTTTATTTCTATTGTAATTGACGATACTTTCTAAACATTACAAAAAATTATTACGAATGTTGCTATATTTTAGAAGTTAAAAGATCTCGGCTTATCCTCAAAATCCATAAGTGATATTTAGGTAAGTGAAAACCAAAATAACTCACCCTGCCATCAAGACTGCCTTTAGCACCGTTCAGTCTGATATAGAATTGAGTTGGCTTGTCGACTTGCGCGGAGTCCGGGAACTGAGCGACTTCTAGAAGATGCGCATCGCCCACAGCAGGAGAGATGTACACCTTGAACGGAGAATCCGGGATATGCTGCTCGTTGAACTTCAAACCAATGCGGTATTCACCTGGAGAAGATATAACATGGTTAACGACAACAAATCTAGTAAAAAATTAACGTTACGTATGTTCTTAGAGTAAAGTAAGGATATTACATGTTAGTTAAATACGTACATTAGTACGTAAATAATGGGCGATTTCCCAGTACCGTTTAACTATTCGTTAGTTTTTGATTCAATAACTTCATGAAATCCGTTTTTGAAGAATGTAGTTTGAATTTTACGCCGTTGAAACATATGTCATTCTAACACTAATAATTCACTTGTTATTTATTTATTTAATGATAAAATAAATGGTAACTTCAGAAACCCTGCATATTAATTTCACATGAGAAGTTGAGTCGGATACAATTTAAGGTATCGACTGTTCTTAAAGGGATGTGGAATAGAAAAAGAAGGCAGTCCTAGAGAGATCATGTCTAGAAGTTTCTGCCATCGATATCGACATCGTGTAGTCTGAAAGAACACATAGGCCAATTTTGTTTTTTTTTTTATTCCAAGTGGGCAGAGCCGCGAGCGAAAGCTAGTAATGTTTAAAAAACAAATATACAGAAGAGATAGAGATAGTGTCAAAACTAATTGCTATGTCTTCAAACGTCCCGACAGATGGAACCGGTAGCGACATTTCAACTAAGTCTTATCCCTCACAGAATCCCGACAAATGCAACAATAAATTCACCCGTTGCCTTAAAAACCCGACGAAATTGGACGAAAAACTAAATTTGAATCGAATGAAAAAACAGCACGGCCGCGGAGATGTCAATCTGAATAAAGAACTAACGAAGTAAGCAATATTTCTTCGTGTGCCATGTCGCAAGGAAATTTGATTTTTTTTGTTTTTTTTTTTATTTTTTCATCGTCTTTCTTCAATAAACAGTTGCTCCGTGGTGGCCGTTATGTTGCGGATTTATTTACATTCAAATAATTCTCTTGTAGTTCACGTTTTTGTAAGCGAAGAAAAAAACAGTTGTTATTTTTTTAATCGTTTGTTTCTGTTGCTATTAACATGGCCAATAGTACTGTTACCAATTACAATTTAATACATACAAAATCATTATAAAGTTATGTAGAAAGAGATATATTAAAAGTTGTCGAATAATGTTAAGCGCCAATAGCCTAATAGTTTAGGGTACGGACTACCGATCTTGCGGTCGAGGGTTCGAATCCCGCCATTCGACTATTGTCATGAACCATATCCTAGCACAAGCCTAGAGCTTAGTTGGAATGGTTAATGGCAATAGTAACTTTTTTGCAATGTACAGAATATGATCGATAGAAAAAACTATCGACTCGACAAACTTAAAATCAACGAATTTCAAAACCATCGTTGTTTTTTTTAAATTTCTTCAATTAGCTAGTTACTTGTTATCGATTTGAATCATGTCAATTGTGTCCGTAACAGATGATGTTGTCGTTTAACCTTAAACTAAAGTTAACAAAAGACAGTGTGACTTGACATTACAAATAATGATGTAGGCCTTATTTAAATATTGTCAGTGTTGACAAAGTTCGATGGCCGGGATCTTTTTTCTTGTTAAAACTTTTTACAGACGAAAAACATTCGGCAGTGTTTTTATGAATGTTTGCAGGTGCATTGTGTAATACTTTCTTAAGCCGCACGTGGATTTTATTTAGTTACATAACTTTTAATTTAATTTGGTTATAATTTTCTACTAAATAAGCTTGCATTAGATTTTAACCACGCTAGTCCATGATCCCAACTAAAGTGGCGGCGATGTGGTCAAAAGAAAAGGCTTAGTTTAGTGAATCACACTAATATTATAAATGCGATGGATGGATGGATGTTTGTTAGAGTTTGTAGCCTAAACGGCTGAACGGATTTCTATGAAATTTGGTATAGATGTAGAGGACAGTCCGAAAGAAGACATAGGCTACTCACTTTTGTTTTTTTTTAATTCCACGCGGACGGTGTCCCGGGCGTAAGCTAGTTACTGCTAAGGCCAAAACATACATTTGTATTGTAAACTTGACGTGTGTAGGCAAGACTGAGAACTGTACAGTTTTACTGATAGTAAATTTTTGTGGACTTTAATATGTCTATTTCTACAGCCCGGTACAAAAGTTCAGGTCTCTAACTGGTATTAACAATATTCCTTTTAACGTAGGCAGGTCTTTCTATATTTAAACATTTTTGGTACCTTACAAATCGTAAGATGCCGAAAGAAGAAATAAAATTCACAAAAGTCGCCTCTGAAATTAAAGATACAATAACAACGGAATACCTGTCGCCTAACTTTAGTATCTATCTAAAACTTAAGTCATTATAAGTCGAGAATAACTTAGAAAATTTCTAATCTGGATACACTTATGAAGTATCTTTCGGCAAAAAGGCACCGCTTCTTTGTCGGATGCTGGGTGACTTTTTTGCAAAGTCAAACACAATGGGCCTCGGGACAAATTCGGTTTAGGGCCCGCATTCCCGGCTTCTGGTGTTTAAGAGTCATTTTAATTGACTGCCCGTTGGATATAATCGTTGTGATAAAAAAAGGAGTTTTGGAAGTCTCGAAAGGAACAACGCGCTATGATGGAATGTTGGCACGAACGGGTTTTTGGACGAACGACTCCCGCATTTCGCTTCCAGCCTAGTTCATTTGACGATTGACCGATTGATTGTTATGATTTACGCAAACTTCGATAAAGCTACTTATGTTCAAAAGAATTAATTTTAGATAGATATATACACAACTGTTTAGTCTCGCTTTGCGACGAGAGATGCGCACACTACTCGATTTTAATTGTGCAACTAAACGGTTGAATTGGCTGCGAAACAATCGACAATCGCACAACAGTTGTGCGATAGTTTAGTCAAAGGCGTGCATCCCGCTCTTAATGCACAGTTACACAATAGAATATAAGTTAACGTACTGCCATACTCATGTAGAAATTTATAGTGCGTGGTTAGACTCATCTTACGATTTGATAGAAATTAATTTCGTAAGAACAATATACCCTTAAATCTTACTCCTCACGTAGGTAATCAGTAGTATACAATCCCATGATATAGATTTCGTGTATAACTTCCATACAAGTTAGAAATAACAATAGCTATAAGGCTCTACAGCCTACCTAAGAAAATATCCTGGCCTGAACTTCAATCGCATTTATTACATCACCTTTTAATGCAGGATTAATTCTAGAATTTCCACAACATGCTGGGTTTTCCTATTCCCGGTCAAGGCTATAACAGATGAGCACAATGTATGTATAAAATTCAAATAATAACTGAACAATATTTTCCATTGTTTGCAGTCTTCTATCATTTAGATTTAGTTCCACGATAATTAAAAAAAAAAAACAGATATCTTTAAAATGAAGAAGAATATAGCAAATGGATATAAAATAAACTATTTAATAACTTCCAGTATAATTATAATGCATTTTAGAACAATTAATGCCGTCAGCTGTTTATAATCGCGATTTAAGTCGTTAGGGTGGGCAACATTAGGTTTGCAGATGTGTTATTTGCATTGTTAAATGTTGCCATATAATGACTGTTTTAAATTACGTCTTGCGTCTGAGTTACAAATCAACTAAGTATTCAAGAAGTGTAAATTAACTACGGTCTCTTAGCTATTATTCTTGGAGTGATGTTAAAGGAATTTTAGGTCTAGAGAATGGTCTTTAAAACACAGTAATCATCAAGTAAATATAACAAAATATTATGTATATTAGCTTGTAAGTGTCCAGCTAGAACACTAGCAAAGTTTAGTTAACGCTTATCCGGGCTCTCAAAATTGATCGAAACATTTGCAGCTGATTTACGTTAGATGGTTCCGATTTTTATCTTATCTAGTAATTCATTAGTATTACAACGGAGTAAAACTCAAGTTATGTTCGGAAACGCATTTCATGAAGTAATCGAATCAAAACAGTAGCGAATGGTTAAAAGAAACTGGGAAATCGGCTATTGTTCGATTTGTAGGAAAACTTGACAAATGTACATCAAAAGGAGAATAAAACGCATAACAAATACGCAGTATGGTTTAAATTTAAAAAGAAAACAAAAACAAAAGGAATAAATTCATCGCATTGTTGATATTTGATTGTATAAATCTTGCCTTTCTATAACATTCCGAATACTTGAATTGATTTCATCCGCTATCAACGTATTTCATACGAGAACGTATCGTAAATTCTGACAGCGGTCAGTCAATACGGAATTGCGACAGCCATTATCACTTTTTCCGAAAAAAAAAAGCACGAGGCTATGTGGTCATTTGCGAGGCAAAAGTAAAAAAAAAGAAAACAAATTTAAAAAATCGAACTGTCAAAATGGTTCGCAGTAAATTCTGCCGTCGCTGGAAGGAAGGCGGTCGCGATTGGACGGTCAGTAGGGAAGGCGTGGTCGAGTCAGAAACGGGTTGATTTATTTATGAAGTGCATTTTATTCATATATGTTGGTATATGTTGGACGAACAGCGCCAACAAGCAGGCGCTGGAATGATATGCATCGCGTAGCATTTGCGTAATTAAATTTACATACCATATGTAGGACGTTGGTATTAAATGTTGCTGAAGAATCCAATTTAATCGATAAAATAATTAAGAAAAAAAAAAATGTTTAACAACTAGTTAAATATACCGCAGTATTGTCGAAGAATGCGATTATTTCTGGAATTTGGTCAAAGAGCAAAAATTTTTTGAAATTCAACTAATTTCTGATTAAAAAACAATAGCAAAATACATTGCTCTTTGAAATTTTTTTATCGATTTAGAACACAATTGAATTTTGTCACTAAAGCTTAAAGTATCAAAGTAACTGACATTTTTAACACGTAAAAACGTTGGTAGTTAAAATTAAATATTTATACAATTCGAAGTCAAGTGTAAGCCGGTAGCGTGTTTGATCAAACATTTGTGAAAAGCCAACATAAATAACTTTGCATAGTCGTTTTTGTTGGTATTGTTTAACCAACGCGTGACCGTGTTTTTATTTTAAAATAGGACACACCTATGGGAATAGATTCATTTTAATTTCTAACTTAGAATTATCATTGAATAACGTACAGTCAGCGAAAAAGAGAGGTTTTCATTATTGGCTTATGAAGTCCAGCCGTCCACAAACACCTAAAATACTTTTGGATTTTAATCGTACTGCTACTTAACTCTTAGTGTAAATTTAGTTAAAAACCATTCTAAAGTAGTGTGTCAAAGTGCTGAAAAAATTACTCTATGTGTGATAGTTAAAACTTTCCTAAAACTCTGTAAAACCTTTTATCTATATCTATACTATTACAATAAAGCGTAAACACACACTTCTTTGTTGCCTAAGATGTCAACAATCACAGCATGTTTTTGAATGATTCTTTTTTTAATAAAAAGCCCTACACTTACGTCATGCTTTAGACTATATATTTTCACGCCATTAAACTTAGGGTGTAAATATTTTGGATAAAACCCTAATGTGGGAAAGAGACCATAAGTTGTTGCCAACATTAAGTAAGCAAGGTTGCTATGGTTTGACATCATGTCATGTCATTTTGACATTTGCTTTTGAGAATTTGACAAATGTAAACAATAAAATAAAATTTTCACAATTTCACGCGAATGAAGCCGTACGGTAACAGCTAGTCTTTACTAATATTTTAAACAAGAAAGATTTGTATTTTTGTATACATTGAAATGACTCAAAAACTACTGGGCCGATTTTAAAAATTCTTTCACCGTTGGAAAGATAACTTATCTATGAGTAATGTAGGCTATATTTATTTCTATTTCACGCGAGCGAAATCGCGAGCAATGCGTAATAAACGAAATACTGAAACTGAATTTTTCGTTTTCTATGTTTCGTTGTTGAAGATTCGTCGCCTTATCATTTCAGGTGATGTTACACATTTAAATAACGTTTTAATATTGGGCCGTATGAACACTAAATAGCACATACAACTTACCAGGTTCGTCGACCTTGTAGGAGACATCGCAGGAGCCATCCTTCCTGTCTTTGAAGTCGATGTCGGCCTTGCTGGGCCCCTCCAGCGAGATGGCGAGCTGGCCCGCGCCGGCCTCGCGCGTCCACACGTTGAACTCGTTGAGGCGGCCCGCCTCGCCGCGCTCCAGCCCCGCGCCGCCCGCCTTCACCAGGTGCGCGCCCGAGTCGCGCAGCGGGCCCACCGTGAACTGGAACGGAGATCCTGGAACGTGCGTTACATCCATACATTACTGATCTACATAAATACCGTATGAATCAAAGTTTTTTTTTTAAATTACAATCAGTTTTAGTCAAACTATAAGCAGATATTATGTGTTCTATAAAGATTACCACTATTCACTAAAAGAAATAAAAAAAGAACTGTTAATTTTCACTGTATTGCTGTATTCGGTATATTAAAGTGATCATATGACTCTGGATACGTTCTTTATTCTTATACTAGTTGTCGCCCGCGACATCCGCGCGCAATTCAAGAAAATCAAATGAAAGTAGCTTATGTTTTCTTCCAGACTATTCTCTACATCTATGACAAATTTCATCGAAATCCGTTCAGCCGTTTAGGTCACAAAGTCTAACAAACTTTTCACTCAAAAAAATAAAAAAGGAAAACTGGTAACAATTTCCACTATATAGCAGTATTCTTAATATTACATTGGTAAAACTCTGGATTAGTCTATTTTTGTGTTCAGAACTTGCCTCAAATGCCTTACTTAAATTGTCTCATTATACATATAGTTTTTATAGATAAAAAAGGTAAGGTATACAAAATGTTTTTAAAAGAATAGGCCACCTTTACAAATAAAAAATCTATGGCGAAAAGTTTAAACAATCATGATTCTTTTTACAAGACTATAGTTAAAGGACCGGAGTTACACATACTAAGTTATCATGAATCAAATCTTTGTAGAAATCCTGTCCCCAGCTTCCAAAGATGCGTAATTTTGTAAAACCGCACCATAACTATCATACTTCATACTAATATTATAAATGCGAAAGTTTAGATGGATGGATGTTTGTTAGAGTTTGTAAACTAAACGGCTGAACGGATTTGGCATAGATGTAGAGGATAATCTGGACGAACATATAGGCTACTCAGTTTTGTTTTTTAATTCCAGGCGGACGGAGTCGTGGGCAAAAGCTAGTATTAAATAAACTTACCAGGAATATGTATTTCCCTGTACTTGACGGAGACAGTGTGGACACCCAGTTCCTTGGGCACGAAGTGTACGGAGTACAGGCCGTCCTCCACCTCCTGGATCTCCGCGTCCTCCGACACCCCGCCCGGGCTCGTCACCGTCGCCGCTAGGTCGAACGACGTTATACCTGGAATAAATAAACATTTACATCAACACAAATTCGCTAACATAGCGAAGTAACCGCCTATCAACATCAGTGGCTCTACCGGCGTGTCCAGTAAATTTGTCGAAGTAATCGTCCATAGATATTCGAAATTGTAGAATCGTTGCCAAATTTTAATTAACTGAAGATGGAGCACGGAAAGAGGAAATTTACCCTTTATATGCGTTTCCTACTCTGCTAAATCCCATTCCTTTTTTCAATATCTTTTATAGGCAAAAAGGTTAAAAGCCTACGAAACGCATACACATATAACTGTATGCCTAATTGCTTCTACTTGAGGCGTGTCCTCTGTGTGGTCGTGGTATTGGTTGAGTTAGCATTTTCGTTCAAAAAAATGTTATTTTTGTTACAATATACTAATATTATAAATGCAAAAGTTTACATGTATGGATAGATTAGAGTTTGTATGTAGCCTAAACTGCTCAAAGGATTTCGATGAAATTTGGTAAAGATGTAGAGGATAGTCTGGAAGAACACATAGGCTAGTCTCTTTTGTTTTATTTAATTCTAAAAGGAAGGCATCGCGTGCAAAAGCTAGTATTTACATATTAATTTTGCAATTATTTCCGCATTAGAATGACTAAAGTGTGTAAGAAAATGTATGTATGTATAACTTACCGGGCATTTTGAATGTGAGTTTGCAGTTAGTGCCGACCTCTGTGAGCGGCGCGGGGTCTCGCTGGCGCTGGATCTTCTCGCGCTGTCTGTTGCTGCCCTCTCCGCCCACCTACACGCAATAGTTAAAACATCTACATTTAGTGCATTGTCTCAACGATAGATGGCGCTCAAATAAAATATTTTATTCACATTGTTATTTATTTCATTACTAGCTTTCGCCCGCGACTCCGTCCGCGTGGAGTTCAAAAATAAAAGTTAGTAGCCAATGTGTTCTTCCAGACTATCCTCTACCTCTATGTCAAATTTCATCGAGATCCGTTCAGCTGTTTAGGCTAAAAACTTTAACAAACATCCATCCATCTAAACTTTCGCATTTACAATATTAATTAGATTTGTTTTGACATAATTTCTCCTATAAGATACATTTAACAAAATACCTTCAACAAACTGATTTGAAACGATCACTATTGTTTTAAATCTTAGTCAAAAACTTTCCTCTTTTTTTCTAAAAAAAAGTAGTTATAAGCATGTTAATAACACAATAATAGTACTAGTATGTGGCTATTGTTTGCTGTAGAAATATATTCTTCTTCTGTTATGTTAGTATTACCTTAACAGTGAAAGGAGAGCCCTCAACATGGTGGTCAGCGAACTTGAGGTTGACGATGTAGTAGCCGGGCTCCGTGGGCTTGTAGCTGATGGCGAGCACGCCGTCCTTGCTGTCCGCGCACTGGATCTCCGCCTTGCTGGGACCTGGACAGTAGCCAATGTGCATCACGACAAATTGTACCAAACTTTTTTAAGTATACTTTATTACTATAACAACATTCCTGCAAAGGCAATTAAAAAGTGTCTTTTTCAAATTCCCTCGCTAAGTTCTGAAACGCACACTATTGGTCGAAGTGGCTTATCTTCAGCGTAATCTGTACTAATATTATAAACAGAGAGAATTTGTATTCTTGGATTTTTGTATGCATTGAAATAACTAATTGGACGATTTAAAAAATCTTTCAACATTAAAAAGCCACATTTTCACTGAGTGCTATATTTTTAATTTCACGGATGAAGTCATAAGCAAATTACCGAGAATAAAAGATGTATTGTTCTTAGCAGTTCCAATATATATTTAGTCCAACTTTAGTACCTTTTTCTTCCCATCCTTATTCTCATAGGAATACGCTGGGAAAGGAAAGTGGGTTTTACGGTGGAGGAGACGTTTAAGAAGGGAAATATCCTCTTTATGTGCGTCTCTTCCTTTGTCGATAAGGTAGGCAACGCATCCGCTATTGCGAATGTCTATGGGCAGTGGTCGCTTCGCCAGTTTGGCGGATTTTTGCTTATGATATAAAAAAAATCACAGGTCAAGTGAATCCGCTATACGAATACTTTATAATTATAATTTCAAAAATATGGCCACAAAAATGCGAAAGGAATTTTATGATAGGGTAGTTTTTATAGACATTTAAGTAATACATAGACTAGGCATAGTAAACAAAACAACATGGTATAGTTTTTTCACTGGTATTTCATCAGTTGTCAAGTTAAGTGCCACCTCGTGTCCTTATATTGTTAAACATTTTACAGAAGTGTAAATATCAAATTTAAATATCTATTATTAGATATCGTTAGTTTTGTGAAAAATGTTTCAAGTGAATTTAACAACGCCTACTCTATATGTTTTAATCTCTTTGAGTTTTTATTACGCGTACCTTCAATGGAGAGCGAGAGTCCTCCGTAGCCGGCGTTCCTCGTGTCGACGCTGAACGTGTTCTCGCTGTGCGTCTTGCCCTCCTTCAGCGCTGTGCCCGACACCTGGAAAACATCACGTATATCTGAATTTATTAATAGTTTAAAATTGTATTAGTGTAGAACTGAAAATGGCATGGATACATTGAAAAGTTAAAAGTTTCTTCTTTCTTAGGTCTACAGCCCTTTGTGGGCCTTGGCTTAGTCAAGCAAAAGTGGAAAAAATTCCACTTCAGTCTATTAGTGGCTACCGATTTCCAATTTGTTATGCCAACATTCTTTGTGTCACGTTTTACACCGTCTACTCATCTTAACTTTCGTCTTCTTAGATCTCGACGACTTTCGAAGGCAAAGGTTTACAAAAGGAAACTTATTATTTATTAAAATCAGTGGAAGTGAAGGTCAGGGCTATCCCAAACTGATATACCGTACATATTGATGAAATACCCTAGAAAGGTGTATTCGAAATCAAAAGAAATGTACAAATCAAGCTTTATCTATTAAGTTTATAAAATATCCTAAAACCAAAATTCAAAACAATGTGCAAACATTTTGAGCAAAAATTCTTCACAATCTTGACGTAATTTAGACTTCATTATCATCATCACCAGCTCAATATACGTCCCCACTGATGGTCTCGGAGCCTACTCTTGTGGTGACTAGGCCATAGACAACTACTCTGGCCCACTACGGTTTGGTGGACTTCATTTAAGTGTCTAAATCTAATTATACGATGACCGATTGCAAGAAAATAATAGACTTGGGGCCTGTCCCACCACTAGCTGATAGAGACTCGGATAGCTCAAAATTGACATCATTGTTAGATAAGGTAACAAAATCCGATATTTCCATCATCATCAGACCATTTACAATTTGGTGGGGCAGGCCCTTAATATTCAGGTGCTTTTTTCTCTCTTTTTTCGTACACCCCTGACATTTCAGTCGTCAGGGACTTTGTCGTTCCGTTTATTGTTACATTCTTTACAACATTATTTATATTTAGTTTTTCTTTTAATTGGTGCTATCGATTTCAGTTGCGGTGGCCCTTCTCTCTTTGTATGCGGGCATACATATAAGGAAGCGGCATAGTGGCGGTTTTACGAGGTAATTTTGCTGGTGTTGCAGTTTCTGAGGTCACACAGCTCCAGTTAAGTTTTATAACATTTAACTACTTTTCCTATTACTTGTATACAATACTTTATAAATTTATCTCTTACTTTGTTGTTTCTTATTACTTTTATTTCTATTTTCTTTATTTAATATTCAGGTGCTAGCATACCTTGACTTTCTTAGCATCACCGACTTCCTGGTCCAGCACGGTGATGTTGAAGGGCGAGTTCTGTATGTGCACGCCCAGCTTCTTCACTGACACCACGTGCTGGCCGGCCTCGCGCGGAGTGAAGCTGATGCCGATGTTGCCCGACGGCAGCCGCTTCAGGAAACAAGGCTCCTCCAGACCTGACGGCGCCTGGAATAAGTATAAATACCTATTACCTTTTTAAGGTCGTTTCAAATTTTAAGATGGACTATTTCAAAGGTGCTACGGCAAACACTATTTAAAGTATTTGGGAGGTGGGGAACAGTCTGTAAACAATACCTTTCACCCATGAGCTAGACAGCTAACCACTTCCCTAGTGAATCGAAAAATGTTGCTATACAATTGCCTAGCGACGCTCATACCTTCACCTATGGAAAACTTACACAAGCGCCTAAGGTAGCTAAAAATCTATTATAAAACTTCTGAAGTAACTGGATTTACTGATAAAAAACCACACCAACAGTGTGGAAATGATGTCTTTAGTATTATAGAAAAGATATATAGAAATCTTTTTTTATTTTAAGAGTCGGAGTCAAACGCTCATACATCAGCAACACTAAAGGAACTACAGATGCGTTGCCAGCCTTTGCAGAAGCCTTCGCTAGCTTCTTGAATAAGTAATTTAATAAAGTTTAAATTTCGTAATGTGTTCTACGTACGTACCTGTATAGAAGCGTTGAGGCTGCGGATGTCGTTGTCGCTGATCTTGCCGGGCAGCGTCACCTCGCTGCAGCTGCCTACGGAGATCTGGTTCCTCTTGCGGCCCTCGCCCGTCACCTGCAAGTTACAAAAGATACCACCAATCAAACAATATTCAACTGTATTTATTAGTAGCTATCACAGCTTCATCCGAGGTATCATGTGTTCTTCCAGACTATGCACTACATTTATTTCATGGAGATCAGTACAGCCGATTAGAAGACGCCTTCTAACAAAAATCCAATCATCTAAACTTTCACATTTCTAACATTAGTGAGATTTTCAAGCTTTCCTTATTTAGTGGACAAACTGAACTATTAACTACAAATATTGTGTAGTATACATTCTCTACGTATTAGGAAACATTTCAAATCATATGGACATTAGTCCTTCATAGTAATCAATATGTGAAATGACTAGAACTTCCTACCTTAGCAGTGAAGGGCGATCCTTTGATATGCTTGTCACCGAACCTCACAGAGACCTTGTACTCGCCGGGCGCGGTGGGCAGGTACGACACCGCCACCGTACCGTCCTTGTTGTCATGGCAGGTTATCTGCAAACGTTACAATTAATACTGTTAACATTTAATTGCAGCAGTCATACTTTGGTAAATTAGTTATCAGAACACAATAATCGAGCTCAAAACTAACACCAATTGGTAGAACGATGTTTGTAACACAAAAATTATTGTTACTGTTCGCATTTGGTGTTAACATAAAACTAGCAAGACAATATAACATATATTTGACTAATTTATTATATTACATTAAATTTAATGCATGTAAAACAAAACTATTCAATAAAGATTTTAAATAAGCTTCCATCCATGTTATATGATTGGACCATTTCATAATTACCTCAGCTTTGCTAGGTCCCTCCACTGCCATAGACAGCCCTCCGGAGCCAGCTCCCTTGGTGCTGATGGTGAACAGGCTAGGTTCACCACTGACGCCGCTCACTAGACCCGGCCCGTACGCCGTCACGTAGCCCGACGGGATGGAGTCCACGTGGAACTTGTAAGGAGAACCTGCAGAAACAAGGCAATTGCTTATTTTCACAGAAACCAATCGTCTTAACTTAATCTTGAACAACTACAATGATGAAAAAGTCAAATAGGCCCATGTACAGTTAGTTCTTTTGGACTCATAGTTTTACAACGTTACTTTTAACCCATTTTTATAATAATTTTATAATTAAAATGTAATAAATTATTTCGGGAAATTGTCATGTCGTAACCATTGCAAGCATCTTGTACTACTATTTTCTTCGTAATTTAAAGAGGTGATATTAGTTATGTTTTACACAATTTTCGCTACAATGAAAACTAAACGTACCTTGTACATGTTCTCCGTTATATTTGACGTAGAGCTCGTGTACACCCTCCTCGCGGGGGTCGTACTTGATGCTGACAGTTCCATCTCGGTTGTCCTCTATCACAGGCTGATCCACGTGCCCGCTCGGCATTCTGATCTCCGCTGGAATATCAAAACATTCAAATAAACAAAAATACAGATAAGTTATAATTTTATCAAAGCATAAAATTGCTTCAATCTGGCATGAGCAAAGGTGGAGAAAAGACAAAAAATCTTAGGTCTAGATGCTGATATTATGTTCTTAGAATGGCGATATGTACAGGTTTTACAAATAGGCAAATCTCAAAGCCAAAGAACATTTGGATGAAAAGTATATTAACATTTTTAATTCATTTTAAATGACAACATAATTTGTATAATTTTGAAAAGTTTTAACTCAACTCTGGTTTAACTGAATTTTAAGATGTATAGTGAATTCCAAATAATTAAGTAACACTATTTTCTATGTTAACAGCTTGACTTGTGTACGCGTTTATTTGAAACGCACTATACGAGTGTTTGATTACTTTTACATAAGAGAAAATAACAAACCTTTTCTAGTATCGATGTGGAATATAGTGACGAAGTTCAATGGCGTGTAACTAAGACCTAAGCCGGTTTTATTGAAGGTTATTTTATGAGCTTCAGCGTAAACTATAGGCGATGCCTCTTTATCAATTTCAGACACAGAGAAATATTTTAGACGATTGTCTAAATACAATGTAGAGAATTCGTTCCAATTAATTTCTTTCTCGTTGCCACCAACGATTGAATTCCAGAGGCCACTCATAAACGCCATTTATTCACTTTCTTCGTGACTATTGAATTTAATTGTTTTTAATACAGTTTTGTGTAGGGTAGTGTTATATTTTATACATTTTTTAATTTTTTATTTACGATCTGTATACTGTATACTGTGAGTGTTGCGACAGACAGACGTTTGTTACTTAAATGTGTAATAATTGGTCATAAAAATATTTAGGGCCTGTCCCACCACTGACTGATAGAGGGCCGAATTTTATTTTCATCACATATTTTACACGTTGGATTGTTATCAGACAATTTACAATTTGGTGGGACGGGCCCTTAGTTTCTTCTATTTTTCTTTTAAAATAGTACGACAAATACTTATCCTTCTCATGTTTACAATTTATACATATATTAATATTAAATTAAACTAAATAATCTAAAGCTCGTAAATTGTATAATTCTATTAATTTTAAAATGTTTCGTTTTGTAACTTGTGTAGTTCTAAAAAAATGTCACAAGACCGGAAATGTTTATCAAAAACTTTACAGACGTTGGCGCCGTATAAATTTTCAATATATTAATATGAAATGAATGGCAAAATATTTGGCAACCTGTATTAGAGATATAGTTAAATTAAAAATATACACATGTCGAAGGACAGATAGTTGACGTCAGAACCGACAGGTTTATTGATAGAAAGTCATCAAGGAAATTACTAATATTTCATTTTTATGTTGATGATAATGTTCTTTTTCTATGATAGTTTAAATTTTACCTTAACATACAATCACATATAACTCACAGCCAATTTCTGAAACGACAATTTATGTTACAACGTCTTAAATGATGAGGCTAACTTTGCGTTTTTGAACTCAAATGCCATTAAAATTTTGATGTACGCTAGATTGAAAGAGGCGCTTACGAAGCAAAGCATTTCAGTCTCGTTTCAGTAATCATCCGTTAGTTTCTTTATATCTTTATCTAACCGACATCTGTCATAAACAAATCAGAAAGGAATGCGCATTAGTGTTATTTACTTTACAGTCTGAAGGAATTAGTAGGACGCTATTGGACGTAATTGGACGCCATTGGACGCCAATGAACGCCACAGGCTGAACTGGACGCAACTCAAAGCAATGTTTGTCGACTCCCTTCATTCTCGCAATCCATTTAGCTCGATCTAAATTTAAATTTCGAATAATATTTACGATTTATTTTCGAGCAAAAACGTCACGTGTGAAACTGGATTAAGCATTTCGATATATTTAAAAAGCTTTCCGCATACGAAAATAAACTTTATCGATATTTTCTCAATTAAAAAATATGAAATAACAATAGATAGTTATATTGATACACCGTAAAATCTAAATCAAAGATTATTAAAAACGAACAAAAAAAATCATATTCGTTCATCAACTTTTAGACGTTTGACACAAATTAAATCAAGACAATAACAAGAGATGTAAGAGATGCTTAAACGTATCGTTTATTTTGAAAACCAGAACAGATAAACAATCTCCCTTTTCAACTTTCATAGACATTGTAATACGAAATTGTAAAAATATTACCAGGACAGCATTAAATCATGTTAAAAAACCATCGTTAGAAGCGTCTCTGAGAACACGAAGATCAAAGCAGCTGAAATATGCAAGCAATAAGATTTTGTTTTAAATTATGAATATCAATATTTTGTCGGGGAGTATATTCATTCAGAAATCATATTATCGAAGAAGGTTAAATCGGTCCTTATTTATGAGCCTGAGTTAAAATTAGATTTAAAAAGAAAATTGATAACAAAAAGAATTTCAAGTGACAAAGAATTCATGAGGAGAAAATGTGAATGGAAATCGCACAAACAATTTTGCACTGAATGGATATCAGGTATGCTTAAGTAAAACAAATGTTAATACGAGTTAAATATAAGGATGTATAAAATATTTTAAGGATCAAGACTACAAGAAACTAGAGATTCATGATTTAGGGAATGATTTTTAGTGTAGAAGCGACTTATGCAATACGATCTCATAGAGGGTCCTACACAGACATGAGTTACCGACATATGAGATTATATTGCGTAGATTATAAATTGATGTAAAAGTGCCGATTTGCGTAGCCTTGTATACGAACCGGCTAACAGACAATGCAAAAACAACCACTTTAGCTGCGACTTTATCCAATTTTTTGACTGTTAAACGTTTTTGTAAATAAATATCGTGCATAATTTTCATACGTCCTACTTTACGATCACTTATTCTTGACAAAAATTTCTGTTTAGTGAAATTTTGACAGCTGTCAACTCATAACGTAACACCCCTAAGCTCCAAATCGAGCCCCGCCTGAAAGATGTAATACAAATACAGTTTTCGACATCACGTTGGCACCATCGCCGAGTAGGCTGAAACGATTAATTAATTATTAGGTGTAACTAATTGGAAGCTTGTTTTATATGATTAATTACTGATATGTGAACGTAAACGTAGATTATTTTAAATGATCTATGGAGTTACTATATTCAAAGAATAGCTTACTTGATTTCGCTCGCGTGGAATTAAAAAATGCAAAATTAAATAGCTTATCTATTTTTACAGACTATCCTCTACATCTATGCCATCGAGTTCCATAAATCCTAAGGCTACAAACTAGGTGAAATATAAAAAATGGTTGTAAATACACTTTTAGCTTATTTTTATATTATTAAATGCATTATCTTGTTACAATATAAGATATCGTATGCTGTAACGTGTATCTGGACCAAATTCCAATCAAATCCAGTAGCAATAATGTTTGTAAATTTATCTCGACAAGTACATTCCTCGGGTTTAAGGCAAGTTTGTAACGCGCAATACGGGCTTAAGATATCCTTGTTATAGGGTGTTCTAAATTTCATATAGTACAGAGTGATCAGCGGTTCGTGTTTGGAATAACGAAAAGCCATGAATAAATAATGTCAATTTTTTTTATGATTCGTTTATGTAGATTTGTAGTTTTTTTATTTTTGGGAATATTCTTTAAAATTTTTGCCAATTTTTTTTTAATCTTTACGATAAAATAATAAATTGCTATAAGAAATACGTCAAATACTTGTTAGAAAAAGGTATTTTTCATATCTTTTTTGCGAATTTTAAATACAATGTCTGTCGCAACTAACATAAATTTTGACGGAGAACGTGAAAATTTTAGTTTATTTATAAATAACCCTTCAGCTAACATAATACTCTAAACTCAAGACGTCACTTTTCTAGTACTTTGGCATGATTCCATAGCATTTTTCTCTATTTTATTGCTTAATTGAGGTGAAAAGTATTTTAATGAAATTCGACATTGTTTATGATTGTCATTTGTGTTTCGTTCAACAATAAAAGTATATTGTAAACTGTCTGTTTATAGTGTTTTAAATTTTAATTTATTATAAAAAAATAGATTTCCTTTATTTTTCTACAGCTGTAAACTTACTTAATCAATATTAGACAAAATAGATATATACTACGAGGTTTTACTGTCGAAATAACTTTATAAAAACACTATCTTTAGCCTACTACTGCACTCGCTTGGAATTAAAAAATAAACAAAAGAAGGTAACCTATGTAGTCTTTCAGACTATATTCCATCGAGATCCGTTCATCCGTTTACGCTACAAACTCTAACAAACATCCATCTATGCATCTAAACTTTCGCATTTATAATATTTAAGTAAGGTTGTATAATTTTGTTAGAAAACAATGTTTTTGAACACGTTTGGACCTTGGAAATTCAACGATAAAGTCTTCACAAAGTAATCTAGTTGCATCTAAATTTTAAAGTAAATTGTATGTGTGTTTCAAAGGATTACAATTGTAAGTATATATTAAATAATTTCCAGAAGTAAATATCTGGCACGGGAATAAAGAGACCTAATTAGGTCACATTTGTGTATATTCTAGCAATTAATTTGTTTAATATGACCCACATTTCATAGTAATGTCGCTGCAATCAAAATTATTTCAGTAACCACATGCAGTTGGAGATAAACCGGGAAATTGGGGTGAGTCTATTCCAAGATTGCATTCTTCACGCTCACTTTCGGCTTGGCTTGCTTCGTTTTTGATGTCTAAGCGCATTTGTAATTAATGTTTTGTAAAATATTTATTTGCTTAAATGTTTAGTTGTTTGTTTCAAATAGGTAACCTATTTCTGTAAGGTAAATAAAAGTATTCACTTACTAAGTACTTACAAAATAAGCTGATTGCAAGAGTTTTATAATAAAATGTAGCTGTTCCCCGTGACTTGGCAGGCTACAAATTCTAATGAATATCCATCTATCCAAACTTTCTCATTTATAATAAGCAGTAAGAAATAATATATCAAAGACTATTTACTTGCGCAAACTAGATGTCACTGGCCGAAAACGATTAAGAAGAAAAAAACAAATGTCTATTACATGCCAGTAATTTATTTAAACTGGAATTTTCCGTTCAAATCATGCAAATTCTTTCTCGGTAAAACATAATCCTGTATTATCTATGATCTATTGGCACGGATTGGTCAATCCACTTGTTTATTTCCAACTTCCCACGATTTTACGACGTTTTGACATCCGCCCATATCGGTTTATCGCCGGCAAACGCGTGCCTTTGACTCATATAAAATAGTAAAATTTCAAATGATTCTGTTGAAAGTTTGATATAATTTATAACATTTTAAGACCACGCATGATGTTTAAAATATTTTTAGAATGAAATATTGCTTACAATCTATGCATCTTACTTGAACCGACAATTATGTACAGAGCATCGACGCATCGTGAAAAAGTTAAATGAAGGTACAAGGTTTCTTGTCATCAACTTTTTGGTGACACTCTGGAAGTCGAGAAATATGTTGATGGCTCCTACGTAGACCATCATAAGCCACAATGGTGTTATTAGCAACATGTTTTATGTTTTTTTTTATAATCTTTAACGAATACTAATTTTTGTGTAAAAAGAACTTTGACTTTCAAGTGTTCTTAATTGATGTGTCTTAATTAATCGTATTAATATTAATGGTTTGTTTTTAAAAATTGCGTTTTAAACGTATGATAGTTTACGTAGGAGCCATCGAGTGTTTGGGTATTTACTTCTGCACAACTAATACCAACGACTTTTATTCTTATTTCATAAATACGAGATAGTGCGTCAGAACAATTTAA